CTCAAAGGATGGTCATCCTCCGAGGGCCCTCAGGGATGCCCACGAGCAGGGACGCATGTGATGTGTGCCCTGTGCTGAGCCCCTTGCAAATGGGTAGCTTTGCATCCACCTTGCATATACTGACCGAGAGAATACAGCCCCCGCCCACTGTGGTCATTGGTCCTGGAGGCCCCTGGACACTCACAGGAACTGTTCACGGTCAGCAGTTCTAGAGGAGCCTGTCTGACCCCCCGGCCCCGGCTCAGTAGGGTCCCAGACTTGCTGTGGGGACAGCACTGCAGAATCCACAGGCCCCTTGGCCGGCTGAGGCCGCCTCTGAGGGCCCTGCCCTCCCTCCTCCCTGCCCTGGTCACCTGCCCTCGGCTCCTCGGGCACCTGCCTCTGGTCTCTGTGGATGCCGCCCTGAAGGAGAGAGCTCAGAGCCAGGATGACAGAGGAGGCGCCCGTTCAGGTGTTATTTTTGGAACTCACATGAAGATGAGAGACGTTTTTCTGTTTAAATATTTCTAGGCAACAGGGCTCCTGGTTGCAGACACAGGAGCCTAGGTCTCCAGAGAAGGAGCCGAACGGTCTGAGGTCATGTTGATGCAAACTCTGTCCTACCCCCAGGAGGAGAGGAGTCCGAGGGCAGGGGACAGCGGACGGGAGGCTGACCCCAGCCTCCTGCCTCTCCCAGAGGGGCCGCCTGGCAAAGCCTCACCAAAAAGGCGCCGGGGGAGGGGACTCCCTGCGGCCCAGGCCCCCTCTCCTGGCCCTCCCAGCCCCGCCCAGGGCCCTTGGGACATTCCCGCCCTGGACCCTGGTGTGGGGACGGGACGCTCGTCCCCTCCTCTCCTGGCAGTGCGAGGAAGGTGACATTAGCTGCCTGCGACCCTTCCGCTGTCGGTGCCCAGTGTGTTCTGTGGAAAATTCAACCACAAATCAGACGTTCATACGAGACACAAAGGCTCAGCTTCCCAGGGTGAGAGCAGACAAGTCGCTGCTTTTCTTTGGAAGGAAACAGGTTGTGTGTCCTTCTGTGTGCGGTGTGCTGTTTATGTCGTCTTTTGTCCAGGAGCAACTCTGCAGGAGACATGTCTTCCCCAGAGGCTGGTACTTAAGGACCTCCTTTTGGGGAGACCCGGGTGGGGTGGGGGAGGGGCACGGGGAGGGGCATGAACCGGAAGGCGGTGGCCTGGGGGTGGGGGTTCCTTTGTCAGTTTCAAACCTGGCGCAGAGAAGTCCCCGTGCAGCCTTGAAGGAAATTCTGACAACCAAGCCTCTCCTGTGCGGATCAGCCAGAAAGGGGGTGCGGCAGAACCCCCCCCCAGTACGTCTGAGGAGAGGGGGCTGCATGGAAGCCCGTTTGGGATATCAGACTTTCTTTTTCCCTGGGAGACCATCTATCTGACACCCCCCCTTTCCTCTGCAACACCAGCTGTCCTTGTCCCCCCCCTCCGCCTGCCCCCCCCCGCCGCCCCCCCGCCCCGCCCCTTCTGCTGGAAGTACCAAAGCTGCAGCTCCTACGGGTTCTGCTCCATCGACAGAAGAAGGGCCCTGCTTCTGTGGGGGAGACACCTGTGCCCATGGCAACCGGTGGGCTCCCTCCTCCTGCCACCTCACTAAGTGCTTTGGAGAGAGGGGTTCCCAGAGGGACCAGGCCCCCACCCATCCCTGAGCTCAGCCTCCGAACAGACCCTGCGACACACGGAAATAACACCGGAGCCTGCGCGCTGGGTCCAGGAGCTGGGCCCTGGGGCTTCTCCGTCCTCACCCAGACTGCCCCTCCCTGGCCCAGGTCGGCTGGCCCCCAGCCCTCCTCCCTCCACACCGCTCTCTCCACCCCGAAACGCCCCCCACAGTGGGCCGTGGGCTCCTGGAGGGCGTCTCTGTGCCTCCTGGCGCTGCCCACACTCGGCAACACTGGACGGACGGGTGTGAGCTCTTCCCTGCCCATCCCCTGGCCGCTGACACCCGAACTTCGCTCGCACGTGTACATGTGTCGATCTATTTTCACTCCTCCTTGGATGCTGTACCTCCTGGAACACGTACAGCGTCCACGCTGCCGGGGAAATCAGCCGCACACTGCGCGTCCTGTTCTGAGCGCCTGTAACCCCCGCCCCGCCCGCGCGGCCTTGCGGGACAGAGTAGCAATGACCACAAAGGCTGTCCTGGCGCCGCTCGGTGGGGGGCCTGGGTTGGCAGCAACAGATAAACAGGTAACTGGCACAGGTGTGGTCGTGAACTTACTTTGTAAACTCAAGAAGAAGCCCTCTAGCTAGCAAGAGTTGCCCAGTGGTGGGGTGGGGACCAGAGGACGAGAGGGACCCCGTGACCCTGTGACTCCAGCACTGAATGATTGCAGCCAGGGCAGAGCCTCTCCAGGCCCCCAGGCCCTTGTCCTGCCGGCCCCCCCACAGCTGCAGGTCTGGGCCGCACGGCCCTCTGTCTGCAGCCTCTCGGTGGTACCTCCGCATCCTGAAACCATCTGGAAAAGACAGGGGACACTACATCCCAGCCCTGCGCTCCGGGGTCTTCCCTCTCCCTCCAGGTCAGAAGGTCCCCGGAGCCCGCAGCGACAGGGGCCGGATAACGCAGCAAATGGAAAGGACCCGGCCCTGGCCACACCACCCAGGCACCTTCCCTCTGGTGGCTCTTGGACCTGCCCCTGCCCCAGGGCACAGGCGACACCCTGTTCCGCAGCCAGGACGCCCCGTCAGAGACTCCAGAAAGTAGGCGCCATCCAGCCAACCCCTCAGCCGAAACTCCTGCTTCGCCCAAGAAAGGAGACCCTCCCGAGTGGACCTTGACCCTCGCTACACATGTCTGGGGGTCGGGCAGCAGGCCCCCCGGCTCTCCAGCCAGTCACAGAGCTCTGCCCTGGAAGTGCTGGTCACCATCGGACACACCCAGGGTCAGCCCCCTCGGAGGGCGGGCGCACACCGTGGACTGGCGGCTTGGCTGCCCGGCTGGGCTGCGCGGTGCACGGCAGAGCCGTCCTGAGCCAGCTGCCGGGAGGCCGGGGCCTGCCGCCCACTTTGTAGAACAAGGCCCCCAAGTGACATTTCCTCAATGGTTTTAAGCAAATGCCTTGTCATAATATTTGTGCTAAGTTGCCTTTTGTGATGTTCTAAGCTCCTAGACGCTCAAACAGAACCCTCTGAAAAGACAGCCAGCTTAGCAGAAAGGTCAGGGGTTTGAAAACCAAACAGTAGCGGAGGCGGCGGGACGTTTCTGTTGGCGTCGTCTGAGCAGCTTCAGCTACTGCCTGGCACAGGGACAGGCCCCAGTGGCCCCCAGCTGGTGCCCTCTTCTGAGGGGTTCCCGACAGAGGGGGGCAGAGGGCACGGTTGCTGGGAAGACCCAATGTTGCCACGAGTCCTGGGATGGCAGTCAGTACCGTGGGTCTCGAGATGGCACCGTCACTTTCTTTCATGATGTGGACACAGAGGTCCCAACCCCCTGATCTCTTAGCGGGAGGGGTTGTCGTCCAGAGAGCAAACCTGTCAGATTGGTGGGGTTTCAAAGCAACCCGTTGGCCAGGCACCTCACCCGCCACCCCCTGAAGGCACCTACACGGCGTTGGCTGAATAGCTGCCTGCTGAGTGCCCACTGTGTGCCCGCACAGCCAGCTTCAGTGACCGCCTGGCCCCAGGAGCACCCGTCCATTCAGGACAGAATCGCAGACAGAGAAGTGGTCACAGGGCCGGTTGAGTAGCAGGGCCCAGGGGTCCCTGTGGCCCGAGGCCTGGCAGAGGGCGCTGGTGTTTGCTTTGAAGGCAACGTTTAAAGATGTAATTTCACGGACTAGGACTCCCTGGTGAGAACGCAGGTTTGGGTGGCACAGGCGAGCCCAAACCAGCTGAAAACAGAGGAATAAACATGTGCCCAGGCCAGCCTTCAGCTGGCTCACTAGCCTGGACGTTCCCCCTGGGCTGGGCGGCCTTCCCTGACCACCCCATCCCCTCCCCCCACTGCCCTCAGCCCGCTGGGTGCAGCCAGCGGTCCACACAGGGGTAAGGACAGGCCCTGAGGCGGCATCTCCAGACGACCCCTCCCAAACTCCACCCAGCACAGGGGGGGCCCCCGCAGTGCCCACTTGCACCCACAGCGCCACCCCACGGCGCCTGAACGGGGAGGGGTGTTGCTTTGTTCCCTGCTTTCTGTCCCCCCCATCCACCCCACCTAGTTGTGCTAGAGCCCCAGGGCGCCCAGCTTCTGGCACCAGGCGGGCACCCCGGGAGGGAGACGGGAGGGAGAGGCGGCCCAGCCAGCCCAGCGGGAAGCCCCCATTGCCCCCAGCTCCCCCGCTGAGCGAACTGGCGGGGAGGAGGCGGAGAGGAGGCGGCAGCTCCCTTCCTGGGGGCGGGAAAGTTGGGCAGGCGGAGGAGGGAGGGCGTGTTGCCTGGGGAAAGGCGCTGAGAACAGCGCATATCTCTGCGCGCCCGTTGGAATCCGGTTCTTTGGAGCGCTCCCCGCAGGCCCCACTGCCCCTGGGAGCGTGCGCCGTCGGCCGCAGCCGCCCCCCTTCCAGCGCCCCCTCCGGGCTGGGTGTACCGCGCGGTTGCCGGTTCAGTCCCCGGCGGGCGCGGGCGCGGCGGGAGGTGTGTGCGGGGCGTGTGCGCGCGGACAGCGCGAGCGAGGTGGGGAGCGCGCCGGGCAGCCGTGAGTGTGCTCTGCTCCGCGCCACGGGCTCGCCCCGCAGCCCGAGCCGGCCGGGAGATCGAGGAAGCCCGGGTAGGAGCGGAGCCCGGAGGGAGCCCGCAGCCCAGAGCCGGGAGTCCGAGGAAGAGCGGAGCAGAGCCCCGGGTGAGCTCAAGCCCAGAGCGCTCCGGGGGCGCGGTGCGGGCTGGGCGCTTCCCGGCTGGAAGGCGCGGCCCCTCTCGCGCGCCCTCCCCTCAGGATCCCTCCACCCTGTCCCCGCCTGAGACACGCCCACCCTCCTCCGGACTTCAGAGGCGGAGGCGCTAGACAGAGCCGCGGACCCCAACGAGCGCGGCACCCGGCTCTGCGCCCCCACCATGTGCCTCAGTAGCTCAGAGCCCGGCTCCCGGGGCGCCGACCCCTTCCCGCTGCCGCCGTCGGGGCTGGAGGAGGCGCTGCTGGCCCCGAACTTCTGCAATGTCTCGGGCAACGCCTCAGAGCGCGAGAGCGCGTCGCCCAGCAGCGACCTGGATGTGGACACGGACATTTACTCCAGAGTTCTGGTCACTGCCGTGTACCTGGCGCTCTTCGTGGTGGGCACGGTGGGCAACTCGGTGACAGCGTTCACGCTGGCACGCAAGAAGTCGCTGCAGAGCCTGCAGAGCACCGTGCACTACCACCTGGGCAGCCTGGCGCTCTCCGACCTGCTCATCCTGCTGCTGGCCATGCCCGTGGAGCTGTACAACTTCATCTGGGTGCACCACCCCTGGGCCTTCGGCGACGCGGGCTGCCGGGGCTACTACTTCCTGCGAGACGCCTGCACCTACGCCACGGCGCTCAACGTGGCCAGCCTGAGCGTGGAGCGCTACCTGGCCATCTGCCACCCCTTCAAGGCCAAGACCCTCATGTCTCGCAGCCGCACCAAGAAGTTCATCAGCGCCATCTGGCTCGCCGCGGGCCTGCTGGCGGTGCCTATGCTCTTCACCATGGGCCAGCAGAACCGCAGCGCCGACGGCCAGCACGCGGGCGGCCTGGTGTGCACCCCCGTGGTGGGCACCGCTACCATCAAGGTCGTCATCCAGGTGAGCAGCCTCCTCAGGGGGAGAGGGCTGGGAAGAAGCGGGGGTCTCCCCTGGGGGCAAGGTGGCCAGGCACCGCCTCAGGAGCGCATCTCTTTCCTTCACCCCAAAAGCCGTTTCCGTCTGGAGAAACGTCCCTGAGAAATGTTGCTCCAGGGAAGAGGATGGCTGAGGGGAGGGGCTCGGGGCAGCCTGACCCCTTCCTTCTTCCCACCTTTCATCCAGGGTTGCCAGGTTCAGCCCTATCTCATCCCCTCCTTCTATCACAGGGGGCAGGAACCTCAGATCATGCCCTTCCTGGGGGCCACGGCAGGGCGTCGGCTGCCTTCGGGTCCCCTGTGTGCTGGCTCAGAGTCTTCCGGAAGAGAGTCCCCTTCCGGGCTCCTCAGAAAGCACTGTGTCCCCAGAAGGCTGTGTCCCCAGAAGGCTGGGTCTGGCTCCCGGGCAGCAGACACCACCAGGCTGCCCAGTGCCTCCTGGCTCAGGAAGCCAGCTGAGCCCAATGCTTGGTTCAGCCTCGGTTTCCCCAGCGCGTGATGGGGCCGTCAGCGCCCTAGCTCAGCAGGCAGGGGTTCGAGAGAGAGCTGGGAGGCGCTGTCGTCGATGGTGGGGACCGATGCTGTCCTTGCTGGGAAGACCCTGAGATGTCTGGGCGTGGTGGCCGGGGTGGGGGGGCTGTGTGAGGCAGACAACATCACAGCCCCGTGACCAGCTGCCCTCCAGGGTCTGAGTGAATGTCCTCAGGACCCTCGCTGGCCCCCCCCCGACATCTGGAAGGGTGGGGGTTCTGGCCCCCACAAAAGGCTTGTCGCAGGGACCGCCAGGCAAGGGCATCCATGGAGGAGGTCCAGGCAGAAGTGCCCAGTTCATGGGCAGCCATGGCGGTGAGGGGGTGATGGGAGGCCAGGGGGTGGAGGCCAGGGCGGGCCGGGCGGGAGGAGGGCCGGGGCGGCTGTCCCTGCCTGGCTGCTCTCTCACCCAAGCCCCACCCGCCTCCCAGACAGAGGCTGCTGCGCCTGGAGCCAGGGGGACCCGGGCGAGGGGCTGGCAGAGGGGCGGGCGCTGCCCTCTGCCTGCACATCGGCCCCGGGCTGTGGCTGCGTGGGCACAATTAAGCTGCAGGCCCCCCTCACCTGTGCTGAGGACCTGTGGCTGCAGGCGCCCCTGTGGAGAGCCCTTCCCCAGGTGCCAGGCATCACAGGGAAGCCCACGCAGGCTGCCCGCCGCCCTCCCTGCACTGGAGGTGACCAGCGCCTGCGGCCACAGGGGAACCACCTTCCCCTCTTTGAGGCCCACTTTCCTCCTCAAGCTCCCGTCTGACGGGCTGTGCCCAGCGGCCCCCTCTCCAGCCTGCGCTGGGGGGCAGCAGCCATGCCACCTTCGCAGCTGTGACGGGTCAGGTTCAGGTCATGGACTTGCTGCCCACCCAGGACACACTCCACCCAGACCTCCGAGGGCTTGGCCAGGAGCCCTCTGGGTTTGTCCTCCTCAGGACTGGAGCAGAAGGGGCACAGGCCCCATAGAGCCTCATCCTCCGACTCCCATGGCCCCTCGGGGGCCCCAGGGAACAACACACACCGCTCCGCCTGGGGCTGGTCCTCTGAGTGCTGGTGCCTGCGGCTGCCACACCCACAGCCCGGGGTGTCAGGCCCCGCGTCCCTGGGCGATGGTCTGCTGCGTGTGGGCAGTGCCCTGGCCTTGCGTCTGCCCCCGCGTTAGCCAGACTGCAGCTTCCCGGGGCCCGGGGAGAACGGAGCGTCCATTTTCTCTAAAGGCCTCAGTTGCGCGCTGGTGGCGCTTGGCCGAGATGCTCGTCCATCTGAGGCTGACGGCTCCCTCGGGCTACAGGCATCCACCACCGTTCTGCTCTGTGCTCCAAGGAGGTCCCCTCCGGGGCCGCAGCCTGGTCCTGCCGCGTCCTCTCTCCTGAGCGCCGTCACCCTCTAAGGAGAGGCTTCCGGGGCTCCCGCTCCTGCTCCGGCTTCCTGGCCCCCAACCCGTCTGGGCAGACTTCCACCACTTTTAAAATGACACCTGGCCAGAGCGGGGCTGGGTGCCTGCGCCCTCGTGTCTTCCTCCCGTCCACCGCCTTTGGGGTGTTGTCACATGGTCCCTTTCCCCAGGGCCCCTCCCAGCACCGTGTTGGTGAGTGCCTCTCGGGCGTCTGCAAACAGGTAGTGTTGAGAGATGAGATGGTTTGGTGAAAGATTTCTGAGCAACTTTGAACAGTCGTGAGTACGGGTGCGGGGAGAGAGCATTTCTGAGTGTAGCCTGGGCTGGGTGAGCAGGGCAGCCCCCAGGCCAGCACAGGCCCAGCCCCCGGCCCCAGCTCAGCAGGGCCTGTGGCATTTCCCCTCGGACCCTGACCCTTCCAAACGAATATTGGTCACAGGGCCAACTTCAGGCTGCAGGACACTGAGTGAGCAGTTGCGTGGAGCCCGTGTCGGGTCGCACGTGAACGTCACTGTGACCGGCAGAAACCTGGGGAGTGTGCACGTCCCGTTCCGATCCGACTCGGGCCGGCGCTTTGCAGCCCTTGGCATCTCAGTGGTGATCATGAGGCCTCTCCCCTCCAGCTCCCCAGAATGCCAGCCGTACACACTCAACCCTCCAGCCGTACCCGCAGGCCAGCCCGTCCTAGGCTTCCGAGCACCCCTCCTGCAGGCTCCCCACCCGGTGCCTCGTTCCGCAGGCTCGAGACACTTGGCCACCCCAGTCTGACGTCACTGCCTGCTCAGCTGGGTCGCCGCGGTCTGCCGAGACCCTGGCTCCTAACATCACGATCGGGAACTGCCCCCGGACGAGAAACCGGTCACAGTGGGGCTCCCCCTGCGCGCCCCCTGCTCTGAGGGACCACAGCCTCAAACGCGGCTTGTCCACTGTGTGTACAATTGTCTACACGCTCTGCACGCCAGTGTAGGTAGGGTTCGGCCCTGCACCTCGGGGGAGTCCTCAGGGATGTTCGGCAGCCAGTCAAACCCGGTTTGGTTCAGAGGAATTATTAAAACAATGTTGCAACAGGATACATAACAAGAAACATAGTCACCCAGTAACAACGTGGCAGATAGCCACTGTGTTTGGGTAAACCTCACACTGAGGCTTAGGGGAAAGTTATTTATGCTGACACATTTTTAGTTCATGGTCTGTTAAAAGGTGAATTTGTAACAAATTCCACACTTCCTTGACGCATTTGATGGTTAAGAGCGTTCTTAAGAGTGTTTTGTTCTCCTAACTCAAGAACGGTTCCTTCATTAAAAACACACCACTTCCGCCCTGGCCGGTTTGGCTCAGCGGTTAGAGCGTCAGCCTGCGGTCGGGAGAGACCCGGGGTCAGTTTCTGCTAAGGGCGTGTACCTCGGTTGCAGTTTGTCCCCGGGCCCTGGTCGGTCGTGGGGGTGGCAGCCACTCGATGTGTCCCTTTCATGTCGATGTTTCTCTCTCTCTCTCTGTTCCTCTCTCTCCCTCCCACTCTACCTGAGCAAAAAATGGAAAAATGTCCTTGGGTGAGGATAAAAAAAAAAAAAAAAAAGAAAGAAAAAAACACACCACTTCCGTCCTGGCCCGTTTGGCTCAGCGGTTAAGCGTCGGCCCTCGGACCAAAAAGTTGAGGGTTCGATTCCGGTCAAGGGCGTGTATTTCAGTTGCAGTTCGGTCCCCGGCCCTGGTTGGAGTTGTGCAGGAGGCAACCAGTCGATGTGTCTCTCACATTGATGTTTCTCTCTCTCTCCCTCCCACTGTATCTGAAGATAAATGGAAAAATATCCACACCACTTCCAACCTCCCGAGAGTCCTGGGGCCATTTGGGAATTACTCCGTTGTAACTGTTCACAGCAGAGCAGAATGCTTGTGGGGAGCACAGTCCCGGTGGTTTGGCAGGAGCGCAAAGCCTCTGGCCCCTCTGGGTCAGGAGACGGAAAGTTCACCTGGGTTGTGTCATTCGGGAGACCCGGGTGCCGGGCCATCCAGGACGGGCTGGTCGGGAGCCAAAGCCCAGACTCGTTCGTCTGTAAGTAGTCGGCCCGGGCTCCGTGCCCACCAGGATGTGCTCGGTCGGAAGCAGCTGTCAAGGGTCAGAATTTATTTCCCGGGCGAGGGAGAAGCAGCCGCATCTGTGCTGACCCCTCCCCCCGGATCCCCGGGTCTGGGCTCTCACCTCACCGGCTGCTCGTGGGGACCCTTCGAGGGGAGCACACCCAGCCGGGGCAGGGGTCCAGCCAAGGGACCCTCTCAGACACACAGCCTGGAGACCCCTCTGGTCTGTCCCCGGTGTGGGGAGCCCCATAATGTTGCCCAGCCACGGGAACACACCCGGACTTCTGACGAACTCGCTCTGGCGTTCTCCGGGTGGTCTGCCCGTCTTTCCGTGACAGCAGGTCAGGAGCGTGGGCACCAGCGTCCAGGGCAGGAGACCCTGTGAGCAAGGGCTCAGGCAGCCGAGTCTTGGAGGTCCCCTGGCTTTTGCAGGGGGCAGGAAAAAGAGAGGCCACCCAAAGGCCCCTCTGTCCCCACAGGCTGGCTCAGTGCCTGGGTCTCAGATTCTTCCCAGCCCTGAGGCCCCTTTATGGAGCTGGATTGTCCCCTCGGGGACGTGAACCACACCGGGGGACATCTGCTCCACCTCCAGGCTGCACGGAGTGGGGGGCGGGGGGCGCTGGCCGCATCCAGGCCCAGAGCTTGGAGGGTGCAGGTCTCCCAGGCCCTCGGTGGCCTCGGAGGCCTGGAAGGTTGGGGAGCCGCAGTGAGCTGCCAGTGGGCGCCTGAGTGGTGATTGGGGCCGGCAGGGTGCCCAGCCGAAGGGGCTCTCCTGACCGGGCGGCACTGAGACGGCCATCCCTGCCCAGGTCCTGCAGCTGGCTTTCCTGACAGCTGATTGAAGGACGCTGTCGTCCTATTGAAAATGCCCGCGTTCGAGCGGGTCTGCTGACCAGCTGGACACGCTTCCATTCCATCCCTGGGGCAGGTCCTCGCGTCTCCAAAACGCTCTGACCCCAAATACCTTTGTC